GACATTGAAATCATATGCTTGTACATTCATATATATAATCTAAGATGCAAAGAGGCATGGGGGTTAAACGCCCGTATTTCACTGAATTCGGCAATTCAAAAGTTTTGAAATATATTAAAAATAGACAAATGCATATCTTTAATCAACAGAAGGTTAACTAAATTACATGAAAATTGAATAATTTAAAACAGAAACATGCATATAGAACTTGAAGATAATAAGATCAACTCTTAATCACACTGTAGATTATTGCACTCGCTATCGCACTTTGTCTTGCAACGTTTAAAATAACATTTGCGGGGCGAGATGGAAAGCAGCGTTGAATCTACGTATCTGATAGCAGACCTTGCATTTCTGATGTACATCTTACAACATTTAAATATGCATGTACGACTTTACCCTGTGTGATTGCAGTTTAACAAAAACTATTGAAGTGTATCTACGGTATGATGTGATTTCCCCTGACCCCTTTTTATGGTTACCCTGTGTGTACTTATCATCATGACCTGGAAGTATGTCCTAACTGGGCCTAAAAGTATGAACTGTAAAATACAGCGAAAGTGTTAGCAAAGATATCTGAGTGGAAATGAATCTCAACCTGAGCAAGCGCAAACTGTGTACCATGGTATAATGTTGTAACCAATGTCTGAAAATATGACATTCCAAAGTGCATTAACAAAAGGGCAAGTAATAAAATAGTTATCATAGTCTTCTCTTGTATTACATATAAAGCAGTTTTTCATCATTAGTCAAAATCTTGTAATAGTATTTCAGTTGGTAAAGCATTATAAACCATCTTCATTTTCTGCTATTCACTCATGTAGGAAGTTCAACATGTATGAAACAGCACATTTTCCCAAATCATTAGCTTTCCACATGGATACTACTTTTCTTACTATTTTTATTAATATCGTTCTATTGATTTGTTTTTTAAGTTCAATGCAAACAAAAAATATGTTAGTGTTTATTTTAGATAGGGATCTATCTTGTCTTATGAAACACATCCATCGATCAAGTATTGGTAATGTTTTCTTTATTTCTCATTGTTCCCCAACCCAATTGCGTTTGCCAATCAATATTTGCAGTATGCAAGTTTCATTAATTACACCATTAATTCCAAATAATGTCATTCATAGTTAACCACTGTCAATACAAGTTTTGAAAAATGAGATACCATGCTTTTGATATGGCTTTTTATAATTCAAGTCAATCGTATTCCTTGTCTAACAGTTTGGTGTTTCCTATGTTCATTTAAAAAAAAGACAATTATATAACATAAGCAAATTTTCTAGTTTGCGCCTTCCCTATCAATTAGTCTTTGATTCACGAAATCCTATAAATTCTATATGTGATTACGGAGTAAACGTTTTAATCTAACCTGTTCTCAGATATTGTTAATATTATTTTTTCTAAGTATTTCATTTTGCATTGATTGATATCATCCATACTTGCCAAAAAGGACATGTTTGGGATAATCAGGTTTTGTGCCATTGTAACTTTGTTAGAGAGTGAATAATTTCGTAAGTATTTTATGAACATGTCTTTGGTTGGTGGTCAATATATGTACAAGTGTCTCTAACTATTTTTTTTTTGCATTAATTGATATCAACCAAACTTGCTAAACATGACATCATTGCAGCCTTTCCGATGAGTGACACTGTTCTTCAGTATTTCACGAACGTTTTTCGTGTTAGTTAAACCAATGCGTACAAATTGCGCCATGGGATACAAATCTAAACAACAACAACAACAACAACAAAAAAAAGGGGGGGGGGGCGGATATACAGTCAAAAGTTGTTAAACAATCATTATATTATTTTAGTCAACTGATCTGGGGCAGCAATAGCCAACATTTTCAATATGTGTCACATACACCACATAAAATAGATACAGAATTAAACAACATAAATATTCGAACAGCAAAGCTCTGAGTTTTCTATAATTGCCAAAGAACAGCAGTCACATTTCGCCCTTTTTTAACTTCACCTAGTCCTCCCTATTTTTCTGTTCAATAACTGATTGCTCCTAAGCAGGAAACTCCATTCCCACATGACCTTATTCTAGACTTTATTTCTTGCAGAACAAATGAAGTTGATTCATCATGCCACACTGAATCATGAAAGTGAGTATTTCTCCCGTAGACAGCGAAAGATCAAGGTCAATGAAACATGACCTAATACAGGAAAATTAGGGGTTCGGTCATCGTGCTGTCTACGCAGTAAGGCTATGGCAGAAGATCTTACTTATTTTGAATGAACACAAGATTTGCATTATTGTGATTCTGGATCTTTGATAAATGTTGTTTGATGGATTTTATTTTATTTATTCATTAGTTTTTTTGTATTAATGGTTTGTTTTGAAAAAATTCGTAAATCCTGCAATTAGATTAGCAAGTTCACGCTGTTCTCTTCAGAAACCTACGTCGACGGCATATAAAGACTGTTGTATAAGGTGAAATATCTACGTAGACTGTATGACAGTTTAACATCATTATGTGGTTGAATAACATGACATATTTACGTTGTTAATGAATCTATTGATACAAAGTTAATTCATGTCCTTTCAGCTGTTGGTCAAAACGGTGTTATAACCAACCTTGAAATAATATTTCCTCAAGCCGTAGGCCGCAAGTTTTGTTTAATAATGGTAATACCGACCAACAAAATGCAAGCACAATACTTTTAGACTTTATTTTGTTTGTCTTTTAAAAAAGTCCATCGTTGTAAATCAATCCACGTCACGATACGCCATCAGAATACAAACCGTGACCTAGATACATTTTTATATGTATTTCTATTTTTTCAACGGTCAATTGGCCTCTTTTATATCAGTCTCGCAATCTGTCCTTATATGGGATTACCTTACAAACATGGTATACGTATTGCATGTCTGCTCCAAACTAATGTCAGTAAAGTGGATGAAGCTAGATACCTGGTTTGCCGTGGACAATGCTATGCATGAATTTTGAGAAAATATTCATTCATTCATCCATTCATTCATTTACACATTTGTTTTATTTTTAAAATAATACATTTAATTATCAAAAGAGTCAAATAACATAAAAGTTTCAGATACTGTAAAAACGGTTGTAACAATCTATGACGTCACAATTGTAGTGAAATAGTTATTGAGATTAGTATTGTAATACTGTCCAATGAAAATCTGTGAAGACATGTACATGTTTTGTATAATGATAGTGATTTTTGTCTATTCCATTTGTCTCATTGACTTGTCTTTCGCGATAACTCAATGAGATTTTTACGAAATACTATATTACTGTAAAACTTTTATAGAAGGTGTAAGTTAAAGAGATTAAACTACGTATATCATTGGTATTTTAAATGATTTTGGAGTTAAACAGTTATCTATTTACGACAGTTTATTCGTTAGAACTGATAAGATGACTGCGTTTCAGACGTATTGGTGTACACTCTACACGCATGCGTCAAACAGTATTGGGTAATCACTTGTCATAAACATTTGTAATCAGAATAAAAGCAGCTGTTGAAGGCTTATTTATGTATGTCTAGGCGCTAAAATCTCCTCATTGGGGTTAACAATGTGTTCAGAGGTTGTTGTGGCGGGGCTGCATAGCTTTCATGCATAATCTTACATAATGACCTTGGCCGTCCCCCGATGTGCTCAGGTAAAAAAAATATGTAGGGCCTGGAACGTTGTATACAGGACCAATGATAACTATCTGGGGAATTGGAAAACTTATCTTTTTATTGATATCATTTGGAGATGGTTCAAAACGATTAAAGCTGATAACGTTTGCGGTCTGTTATGCCAGGCCGCTACACTTTGAGATGCAATGCATGAGATGTGTTTGGTCTACATTCGCCATAACCACTTCACACCACTCTATATAGTTGCAGAGAATCTCGTCAATTCCATGACTACTAAGTGTCTATCATTTGTCCGAGTCTGCAAAAACATGAACTTAAGTAAATATATAAGGCAATCTTTGATATATAATAAAGGGGAAAAGATGGGGGTTAGTTTTGAATTATTTTCGCATACATATTATCTCAATTTATTGATATCAATATTTAAACCTGAACGGTGATTTGTTAGCAGACGTGTGTTATACATAATACTGTATTATCGTGATAGTTCCACTATGGTTCCGAATAATCTGCTGCCATCTGACGCTATGGTAGTCTAGCGTCATTAATCGACACGATGTCGTTTTGCGCGCCATTGTTAATAAACTCGGGTTTTCGGGAAGTTAATTGAATAAACATGGATATATTTGATATATCACAATAGTTATGGTCTGTCTACAACATCACAGGAGATATATATATATGAAACTGCTTGTCAACACTACGAGAAATAGAGTTCTAAGCTCCAAAATATTGGGATTGATATTCACATCATTTTATTTACACCTTAAGGGCGTATGCAAGCGCCGTTACGTATTTGATCAAAATAATGCGCATTTATTGTTGTTGCTGTTGGTGGGGGTGTAGTCATTGATTGACAGGAAAGTGTAGTGTTGTATGTAGAGAGAAGGTTGGTGTTGCTGGTCGGCAGTGCAGTGTATTTTTCTAATCTAAAGGCTGCAAGTCGCAACACTTTAGGCTAAATATGAGTCACGGGTCGTCCATATTGTCCCCCATTGGCCTTTTCAACACTAATAGAAGCGAAACCTTTTCATTTGGAAGTTAACGTTGCCGGCGAACTAATCCTATATAAGAAAATTAGCTTTGTTACGAATTGTCAAAGAAGGCATTTCATGGACAATTAGAAGAGGAATTTACCACTGTCATATAAAATATTTCATCTCAAACCGCTGATTGAACCCGAATAGAGACCTAGTGAGGCAGGTAATTAAATCTATAATGGAAAAACATCCAAGTATATTGCGGTTCGAGTACTAAATACGTTCAGATCTGCCATCGCACAGACCAAAGACAAGCAGGGGTCGGCGTGGCTTTCCTAGTGGATCGTGGTCGATCGATAGTCGAGGCAGCACAGGGCTACTGCAACATGTGATGGTAGCTTCGATTCAAACATCCTAAGTGCTAAGACTTTTTACCATTCTGTTGGTTTTAAGGTTTTACTTTCGTAAAGATTGCTCGATTATTTGTCCCCATGTTTGCGAGATGAAACGTGTTATGAGATGACATTTGACCAGATTCGGTGCTGACAGTTAACAGGAGCATGGTTTACTACATCACTTGTGTATGGAACACAGACTGTCTTTGTATGCTTGATTTTATATATATATATATATGTTATTTGTATGCGGCGAGGACAGAAAAGGACAAGCAGTAAACATCTTAGCGTGAGTATCGGGACCAGCTCGTAAGCTGTCCCTTTCACGTGGACGTCTATCCCTGGTATTGATTCTATGGCTGTTTCTTGCCTCTGTGTGTCATCGCCCTGTCACAACTTGGCATCTACCATTCATTTCATCAAACACTATTGACAAAGGCACGTCAACGGATACATTGCCTTAAACATTTGTACGCGAAAACCTACTATTTCCGGGCGACAGTCACGCGCTCCGGAAGTGAACAGCATGGCCGACGTTGTTTGACATCTACAGAGGGAGACGACAACGCTCGAGGTGAGTGTTTGTCCACACATTTCTTGTAATACTAAATTAGGATGACTGTCAAATAAATGTCTCTGTAAGGGTCCCTGTTAGGAGTCTCACATACCTATGTTACTTACTATAACAACAAAACATATCTACTAAATATGTTTCAAATAAGCAAGCTATACCACATAGGTACAATATTACAAAGACAGTTTTATGCATAAATGTTTTATTATACGGAAGTGTATCGCAATTTTGTTCCGTCAGTTTAGTCACACATGCCGTTAATACTGTAGGTATGTATTCTACATCACAATACTAATGTATGTTATCGTTTGCTCCTCAGTACTAAAACCCCATCTCCCACCAACAGGCGCTACAGGCGACAATGCGTCATTAACAGGCAACATTGGGTTGTATGTGCCTGTTTGCAGGGTTATGGATTATTGTTGATCTCGCACCTGTTAGACGACCCCTGTTGAAATACTAGGTTTTTATGACCTGTACTATGACTCTGGGATATTCACCTGTTCCACGTTTATACAAAACGTTTATAAATGAGGCGATTTATGTTACGTTAAGTTTGGTGTTGTCCAACTGACTTAATTTCCAACTGCGGAATTAAAAGGTCAGTCAGAATTGAGACACCTTGTTTTGATTGTTGGTGATTGACATGGTTCCTAGATTTGACAAGACATATCATGGCGTAGGGATACAGAAACGCGTATCCTTCTGGAATCCCTGTTTTTCAAACAACTTTTTTAATTCGGCATATGTTTAAAGGGCCAAGCTTCCTTTTGGTCAGAAAGCCGGGATTGAGGTGTCCCTGGCTCATCCCTTTTTGATATAAACTCATACAGGAGGCCTCTTTCCTTTTTGATATAAACTCATACAGGGGGCCTCTTTCCTTTTTACATACGGGATTTTGGTTTTTGGTTTGGTTTAACGTTTGGAGAATTCCTTGTATAATTCATAATTATCATTTGCATAATTCTGTTAACTAAACATGCATAATATACGCAAATGGATCAATGCGGTGTTTTTTTTTCACGAAAACTTTCCAAATGCCTATATTCAGTGGATTCGTTCTGCTCATTGTTTCCGTGTCGATGAATGCATTTTTTTCTAATCTTGTAGATTTCATCAACTAAACAGAAGTAACACTTTTTGTTGCTGCTATATAGTTTGCTGCCATATATCAATAAAATGACTTGTGTGTGAACGCTGATTGAACGGGAGCCAATACATATTATTACTTTCATTATTCTTTTGACACCTATCGTTTTACTCAACTTAATACTCCACTGCGCTACGTTTCACAGAGCTAAGTGACTCCGGCATATTCCCCCTTATCACTCACAAAACACTATGTGCTCTATGGTAATGTTGTTTGTTTCTATAGGGAATAGTTATTTTTATGTTGGAAAATGTAAGCCCAATCCATTTGCTTTAATTGCCAACGAATTATGTTTAAGAATGGCTCGTGTATTAAAAATATCACATTAAGAGGATTTCGTTAGAAATATATATCAAACGGGTTATGTGCAGTTAAGCTATATAATAGAAATGATTTTCCACAGAGAAAGGCTTAATTGTTGTAAGATGCATAAAATGGTCCCAACAAACTGAACAAAATGTGTTTGTTTTGCCTTTTACATATCTAGTTCTGGTGTTCGAAAGTTAACAAATAGCTCTTGGACATAACATCGTAAATGGTATCAAAATATTTTTTTCCTTGGGGTGAATATTGAAACATATTTTTTCTTCTACAGTTTGCCCTACCTTGGGGTTACATAACAAGTCAAATATCCTAAAGATCTGATGTTAAATATACAACATTCTGAAATATAATACATATCACTGGATTTTCAGAGTTGGAGATTGAGATTTAAAATCATTTTAAGGTAGTAAAATACGGGCTTGTGACCGAAGGGTTGCGGGTCGAGTAACGGCAAGGCACTGTGTTGTATCTTTGAGCAAGATACTTTACTCCGCTTGTTCCAGTCTACCCAGCTGTAAATGAGTATGTGGTTGGGTAGTGCTATAATTGTTGAATGCTAGCTGCGTGCGCCGAAATGGCAGCACCGCCTGTATGCTCCCCAGGGAGTTGAGAAAAATGTTGGCTGGTTGCAAAGGCCATATAACCACGGATAATAATTTGTGAACCGCTTTGAGATTACCTACGAACTAGGTTGTGATAAAGCGGTATATAAGAACCTCGATTTGTTTTTCGTTAATAGTTCTCAAGATTTCATGCATCAAATTGTATGATGATATTAAGTAAATAAATAGTCACATATATTGTCACAATGTTAATGCATTCACATCCCTTATGTTTTGTTACTAAACACATTTCACATTTCATCAGTCCGATTTACAAAAAACAAAGACAGTTTCTCACACAACCTTCTCACCTGTGCACGTTCACTAACATTACGTACATTACAAACACACGCGTACCGGAATGATAACAATTCAATATCGTCTCTAATTACCAACACAAACACACACACCCTCACACACACGCACGCACGTACGCACGCACGTACATGTATGTGTATGCGTGTGTGCGCATGTTTGTGCGTGTGTATGTACACACAAACACATATATACTACTCAAAATGTCCACCCACCCACCATTTTTACCTCGGTATGTAGCATCCACAAGCACACACCAACACACACACACATACACATACTAGCACATACTCATCCCTTGCATACACATGTACATGGTTACATGCAAATCCTGTCCATACTATTTCAATTTACACATCGTTATCCAGAAATCGTAACTTTAGGTGCTAAGCGCCATGAGCCTTCAGTATTATCATCATTGCACTTTTTTATTTATTCTTATTTATTCTTTTCACTGTTTTTTACTCGTTTTATACCATTACTCGTTCAAAGACTTTGCCATATCTTTTAATAATTTAATATCTTTATATCTCTGTAGCAGTAGCTTTCTCTCAAGGTATATTTTATATAAATATACAATCGAGCAATTGCCAATCCTTCTATTTGAGATGTGGTAATGTTTATATATTGTATAACCAATCAGAGACATAAGAATGTTAAATTCTTTGTACTTCATGTCAACAATCTTATATCCTACCACCATGGAATACATATTTCTTAACTGAACATTGTAATTATGTTTTCGTAGAAGCTCATTGATTAGATTCCACAATGATTCTACGCATTGACATTCAATAAGATAGTGCATATAATCATCCTTAACTTTACATATGCAACATTTTTCATCATCAATAATATTCCATCTTTTAAGTAAGTTTCCATTTGGAATAATATTATTGAACAGCTACCATTTAAACATTTGTTCGTCATTCTCAATTATAACGTTACTAATGAGTTCAAATAATCCACACAAAAAAACCCCACTACTTTCTATCTCAAACAGACCTTCCCACATATCTCTACAGTATGACGTGGATTTCTTTTTTCTTTTAAATGCCACATACAGAAACTTATTATTCCCCTTATCTGTAACACCAACTCCTTTATCAAAGACCAATAGATCCGTGTTAGTTTGTACATTTACCCTGTCATTATCTCCCTTGATTTTTTCCTTCCATTCTTTTGGAATAGCTTTCTTTACCTGACTTACCTCCCCTTATTCAGTCTCTTGTTTCTTTTAAATGTTGGTAAATTTTAAGTTAATTTATACCGCCATCATTATCTAGTATATCGTTGATAAAATTAAACCATATTCAATCCAGTTCTTAAAAACTAGCGAACATCCATTAATTCTGATATATTTATTTCCCCAAATGATCTCCCGACGAACATCCTTATAATCATAATCAAAGACCGGTGTATTATTTTATAATTAGTATTTATTATTATCAACTAAACATATTATTTTTACTTTTTACTGTCCAATTGTCTGTACACAACTTAAGGTTATTTTTTATCTGTAATTTTCTAATGGCTAAAATTCACAATTAAATGTTATTGCTTTACAAGTTGTTTTCCAAGCGTCTTTTGCCACAACATAACGGTTTTGTCTTTTTCGTTTGACCTGTATTTCTCCCTGGGTCCATATACAGAACTGTTATTTGGGAAGTAATATTCACCATTAACTTTTTGTTTTTACATATATTTGTCCACTTAATATAAACACAACTTAGTGTTTACCTGTTGTTGTCCCAGTGTCTGTGTACACACCTTAGATGTTTTGGTTTTCCCTGTTGTTGTCCCAATGTCTGTGTACACACCTAGGATGTTTTGGTTTTACCTCTTGTTGTCCCAGTGTCCGTGTACACACCTTACATGTTTTGGTTTTACCGGTCAGTGTCCAAGTGTCTGTGTTCACACCTTAGATGTTTTGGCTTTACCTGTTGTTGTACCAATGTCTGTGTACACACCTAGGATGTTTTGGTTTTACCTCTTGTTGTCCAAGTGTCGGTGTACACACCTTAGATGTTTTGCTCTTTCCTGTTGTTGTCCCAGGGGCTGTGTACACACCTTGGATGTTTTGGTTTTACCTCTTGTTGTCCAAGTGTCTGTGTAAACACCTTAGCTGTTTTGGTTTTCCCTGTTGTTGTCCCAGTGTCTGTGCACACACCTTAGATGTTTTGGCTTTACCTGTTGTTGTTCCAGGGTCTGTGTACACACCTTAAATGTTTTGGTTTTACCGGTCAGTGTCCAAGTGTCTGTGTGCACACCTTAGATGTTTTGGCTTTACCTGTTGTTGTTCCAGGGTCTGTGTACACACCTTAGATGTATTGGTTTTACCTGTAATTGTCCAAGAGACTGTGTACACACCTTAAATGTTTTGGTTTTACCTGCTGTTGTCCCAGTGTCTGGGTACACACCTTAGATTTTTTGGTTTTACCTGCTGTTGTCCCAGTGTCTCTGTACACACCTTAGATGTTTTGGTTTTACCTGTTGTTGTCCAAGTGTCTGTGTACACAGCTTAGATGGTTTGGTTTTACCTGTTGCTGTCCCAGTGTCTGTGTACACACCTTACATGTTTTGGTTTTACCTGTTGTTGTCCCAATGTC